GTTCACTGTTCGACCCTCCGTATGCTCACACATTTGCCGTTGTTCATTTGTTTATGCCTTCATTACCGCATACCCCTAACGATATTTGACCTGTTTAACAACTGTTAATTTTAACAGATGTCCACTGTACCTGGTCGGATGTCGTCATTAGCTTCATCGTGTCAATACATTGTTATCACATATTCAGAGCGATATGCACGGTCATTCGTTTGACCACATGTGTGTGCTTCACATTCACCTCTAACTCCTTCCCCACATTGTGACTGGACCCTCAATGATTGGCTACTGTGGCTTTGTTAATAGTTTCAAACATCCGTGATGCATTCACATGACCCCTGGCTGTTTGTTTCCAGCAGTGTTTCGACGGCGATCTAACGGGAATCTGAATGATTGAGTACCGTAGACATTGCGATCTAAACTAGTGCTGATTTCGGAATCACTAGCTACGCGCCCATCAAAATTCGACTAGCGAACGTACACTCATGGTTTCGATGCAAGGAACATAACTATCTCCTCAGCTCACGAAATGTCACACAACCACACCGCCAACAACCAGTAATAGAATTCCTGAGTAACTAGACGGACTAGTAACATCCAGCAGCTTAGTAAGGAAAGAAAAAGGTAGTTTGAAAGTGCCACGAGGTGTATAGTGTCATGCGTCTGATGATTACCATCAGACACGATATTACTGCTGTGCATCACCGCCCAACCGAACTCACCAATTCAAAAGACGAATACCTCCCCACCAAAAGGCATCCGTAATGGCCAGAGTAATAGAGGGCTACATAGAAGTAAAATGACTCTGGCGATATGACTGAGTGCATACAGCATGGTGCCTTCGTCCCTACTTTTCCACCTGTTTCTCTTATTTCCCTCCCAACCCCGATTACTTCGATAATTATCAATATAATTAACAGTAGCTGCAACGCCACTGCAGTCCGACCATCTTCAGCTACCTTCCCACGTCATCCACTGGACGACTGACGGCAACAGTTCCTTATAAGGCCACGCTGTCCCGTTTCACTGGCGGCATTCAACGTTCACAATCTAGTACAAATAGGTCAACAGGCTGCACTCGCACGCAAGCTGGACCCCCTGGGTAATGACGTGCGTGACTGAAACTATGATCAATGGACATACCGTTGTTGTTCAAATAACTGCACCCAATTTGTCCTTTCGTTATAGATAACACATCCTGAGACTCGGACAGAGCAGTCACTGATCAAGCTAGAATGGGTATTGATCTCAGATCCAAGACTAAGTCATTGTTGATCGATTGGATTCCCGTGAGCAGCCGTTTGTGTGCAGCCACTTCGACGATATAAATAAAGTGTCAGCTGTACGCCGTAACTGCGCCGCGCTGTCGCGCGACTACCACCAGTCGTGCGTGGGCTGAATATATCACGAGGACGCCCATCCCTGCGCGGATTCGAACCGGTGACCTTATGATTCCAAGCCAGGCGTGCAGATCACTCGACCATCGACCGACGTTTGATGACGTAGACCGAAGCTGATTCACGGAGTAGTGCTAGAAGCTGTTTGCTTGTGCTCCCAACAACCGCAATTCAGATGCCGTCACGGTACTAAACAGCGTTACCAGTTCCTTTCAGTTCAACTATGATTCAAGTTCAACTAGGATTCGAGTACCGAAGTGCGGTGGATCCAGTTGTCACGATTAGTCACCAAAATAACTATAAATAACAAGCCAGGAGAATGGAGTTAAGTTCAAATAGTAAAGAAAATGGAAGCAATAAGGTGCGTTAGACTAATCAGGATGGGACGAGAATTAACGATGATGTGCAAGAAACTGAATGCAGGGACGTCACAGACTGTACGACTGCGCAACGTCTGATAGGGTCTCCAACCTCTGCGTGGACTACTCTGCGGTCCCCATCCGCGGAGACGGCACAGATGAGCCTGACCAAGTATCTCGGTCAATTTCATCAAAGTTTCATGGAGAGTCATAGACTGGGCACCTCGCGGTTTCGCCCAATTTGCCGAGGAGGTCGACAAACGAGTATACGGAGGAAATGACCCAGGCAACGTAAGTGGTGAAGTTTAAGCAAACACGAGTGAGGCGCCAGAGGGTTAGTTGCCAAAACACTAAGTGACGGACCTCAGCATTGCTCACCCGGTTTTCCCACCACACGTGAGTAATACTCCGCAAGTCCCGGTGGTCCAACACGGCCAAGCGCTCAATTTCTTCACTGCGAACGGGTTAGGTCTCTGATCCAGCGCTATACACCCTACCTTTCATCGACAGGCTGATATCCCGCCGTCTCCACAGATAGTTGAGCCTGTGGAAGGTCACACGCGCCTTGCTGATATGCGTAGTAACGTTCTCGGTGATGTGACAATCAGAACTGATACAGCTGCCAAGGAAACTGGATTAATCCATCACTTCTAGTGTTGTTCGAGGATAACTAGAAGCGATGGAGTATCAGTCCAGCCGTGCGACAATTCCTTGCACTTTGAAGGTACTAGTAGATGCCGAAGCATTCCGTGCTACGCACCAGTTTATCCAGCAATGTTTGCATAGTCACTACGTCAGACCCAAGGAGAGCTGTCATCCACATACTCCAGATCCGTCAGTCTTGGCAGAACTTTTATTCCAGTGGAGTTTGAAAGAACCGAGTCACTCATGATCATTTCGATAACAAAATTCAATGCGAAAGATGATATAGGGCAACCTTGACAAGCCCAGCTGTCGTGGTGAACTCATGAGACAGCCTGGCGTAGACCCTTACTCGGCCTCGGATTCACGGAAGAGACTTCAGAATAGAAAGGGCTTTAGATGGCACGTCCGTTTTGGATACAAACTGGTAAAAGACATCAGTTGTGCCGTAGCATCGCTGCCATGCAACCACCACCAGTCGCGCGTGGACTAAGGATACTGCGAGGATCGGCCGGTCGCCTACGCAGGCTTGAAACCGCGGCCTCCGGGTTGCAAGGCAGCTAATTAGTCCTCTCGGGTACAGGACGAGTAAGACTGTTGAGTCAAAGGCAAGAAGTAGGGCACCTCGAACAAAACCCTCTATCGATACGGCCAGTCGGAGAGCGTCATCTACCCTCCCGTCCCGGTCGGCAGTACTCCCATTCCTTCTTCTTCTTGTTTTTCTCCCCCCCCCCAACTCTCTTCTTCCCAGTATATTGAGCAATAGACTGCCGCTGATCTTGCAGCTGTTGCAATCGATACATGTAGCTCGTCCAACAAACCTAGACTCATTTCAAATTGGTCATTTTATCATTCGCATTCTGGGTCAGGTCGGTCAATAGGCAGCACTAACTCTCACCTTTCACTCGCTTGATGAGTGCAGTGTCTTCGAATCTTCGACACTATAGTTCTGAAACACGATGATGGCTATATTCTTCGCATCTCTGGCGATACGGAGTCAATGGCTCAAGGTATTTACAGTGTTGGTATCTCCCACAGCAAGCATCCTGAAAGCAATCAACCCGAAGAACCTGTTGAAATCCAGTAGGAAACTCCCGACTGGTTCTAAGAACCATGTTACATGATGGGATAGTAAACGCGAACTAAAGTGGAGCCAGCTTGCTGACAAGAAAGCCTGATGGAATAGTATGGCTCAATAAATGAGAAATGCGGTAACAGGAGGCAACTACTGCAAGTTCTGCGAACTGATCCGCGCCACTAGTCCCAGAAAACCAGGAGTCAGTGAGACAATCAGAATACGGGGACTCTGATTCACAATAAACAGCGCCGTATACATCGTTTGGTGGAACGTTATCGTGAGTAGTTGGGTTGATCGCCTGCTCCCGGACCCGCTTTACTCAAGTGGTGCAGGATGAGTCATGGTCGGTTAGCTTCGAGGCTCCATCGGAGGTTGAGGTACGAAACGTGATCACAACCCTTAATGCTTTTCGAGACGCTGGCCCGGATACGCTCACACACGCAAACTTAAGGATGGTGGTGAAGTCTTCTGCAAAGTATCGACCCCTTTGTTCGAACAGGGCTATAAGAAAAACCATCTCAGTTAAATGGAGTACATCAATCATAGCGGCAATATAGAAGGGCACTAACACTGACTATCGTAACCACAAAAGTAGTAGGCTAAGGCCGATGGTGACAAAATTACTGACTTCAATTCTCGTTCGACACCTCACAAAGGAACGTGAATCCGGGATTATGGAAGAACAAGCGAGTCTGCGTCTACTACGGAGCTATATAGAGCATATATTTACTCTGAGGAAGGTGTTAGAGCAGCGTTACACGCATCGCAGACAGAGTATGAGTGCGTTCAGATTAGTCGATCATTCCATTCTGACCACTACATGGTAGTCACCGCGAAAGGAGAAGCGCCTCAATGATAAAGGTATACAATGCAGCACGGCTACACTTGCTCGTGTCCACAAGGCCACCGATTAAGTGTTCAGCGAAGAGACCGGAGTGGAGACAGTGCACGTAGTATTGCGTATATAATTTCACATGTGGCTGTGGAGACATCTATGAGACTGAGACTGTATCTAAGAGCAAGTAGAAAGGTTTCTGTACAACTCTATCGAATCACAAAAAATCAAAAACATTTAGTTGTGAAACATCAGCACTGATCGAAATCTAGGTGTCCGAATCAAATAGCGCATTCTAAAGTGGCCGCAAACGGATGGGACGTGTGACGGTTGCCCCCAGTGAGTGGAGAAGCAAAGTGACCTCCGCAATTACGACGCATTTGATAAGTAACGGTTGAGGAAAATCAGGATGAGTCATTCATAGTCCGCGTACGCAGCTAAAGGCTTCACATACCCAAGCTACTTGAGTCCGCTGTTATCAATCGACAGCGCCCAACACTCTGGGTCCAAAAACAGCTGACATTGATATAAAGCTACCGAGGTATAGCGTGCAACGCACCAATCGGAAAACAGTTGACCACCAACCGATTTCATGTGACCCGGTTTTGATTCATTTGTCATTTACGAGTACTACAAGCAAAACGCAGCTGTCGTTAAAATAAGAGAAAAATCGGTCTAAAAAAGGAAGATACCTCAGTTCTTGGTCCATTCTGCTCTTCAAGGTCAAATGCTTGGGTCACCAGTTGTTGTACACAGGTTGGCACCGGAACAGCTTGCCAGCGCTCCTGGTTCAACACCAGCTCCAACTTGGAGACGCGGTCCATGTGAAATCGATTCACCATTCTCCGAGTTAGATGAACAATAATCCGAGTCAGCCCATCCATACGGAATTTCCCAGAGTGGTCATCAGTGAGATCGTTGACACCCATGGGAAGTTCGTTTGCTATGGAGCCATTCAATTGGGCGGAACTGGGTAGACATCGAGTTGGAGAGCGCTCGATAAATTCCTAAATGCAAGTGAATACAATTCCGATGAATCAGGTAATAAAACAAAATCGCAATGATAGTGTATTTAGCATCAAAGTAGATCAATACGATTCTCGGAATGGTCTGATACACATCCGATGAGGAGCTAGTGGAGAGCGGAGAGAAACAATGATTTTGAGGCGATAGCTAAAAAAAGTGCAACACACTGTAAAACGGAGGCCAGTTTAATAACATCGAGTAAAAACATGCACAGGAGAGGAAGGGGTCTATCTGTGTACTTATGTTGACTCTTTGTAACAAAGACATTATTATCCGTAGTTCGGAGATTCCCACTGTTGATCGCAGTGGTTGGATGAAAATAGGAATTGGTACTTGATGTGCATTGGTTCATTGTCGTCAAGATCACAACGACAGTAGTTATCTAATTAGATAAAAGGGTTTCTAAAAAGCCAATCGACCATCAATGGAAGCGATGTAACCTGGAAACACGAAGAAATTGTGTTGCGGGCCCGTCAAAAATCCCCGCAAAAAAAACGCGCCAGTAACTCAGGCATAATGGCTGTGGGAAGCGGAGTCCAATTTCTCCCCACAACGCAGCAGTGTTCAGCCACTCCGAGGAGCGTCCCAACTGCGAACCTTTTTGACAATGGTCATTTGCAAACTACCACCTCTGCGTGGTGACTTTTTTCCCTAACTTAATAACACATAGCACTGGCTGTGATTGCCCTTTGTCGGTCGTAAAAGAGCCTACAGAGGACCACTTGTCTTTTCTTTCTCTTCGCCTCAGTTGGGAGTCGGTCGGGTCGCGTGATTGCGTGTGAATCGTTAGCTGGCCAGCCTTCGCGTCTAAGTCATTAGCGCGCGTCTATCGTACCCCCTCTCGTGTGCGTCCGTTTTCGAGGCCTCAGCGTCTATACGAACAAGTGCGGCTAAGATCGTTCCCACGCTCGTTCAATTTTCCGTCTCACCGGCTAAGCTAGCGTCATCGTAGGCGTGCTCCAACCGTGCGAGCGACAATCTTGTCACGCAATTACCTCAAGAGGCGGCGTTCCCTCAATCATAACAGTGGCGACTCAATTATAACAAATTGCTTTGTGTACCCAATAGTAAAGGCTCCTGAAGGCAAACCTAGGATAGCGGTAAATGCATAATCAACGGAGGCCTAATCAAATCAGACTCATTAGACTAACCGCTAACAAATGATTTAAAAAGTGATTGCAATGGCGAGTGACAAAGCTATGAAATTTTAGATACTAGTGTAGAGGGGATTCGCATCAATTTGTAGAGATAGTTTCCACAGTCACACTCGGCTAGAGACACGATTGGACTGGCCTGAAACAATGGAACAGCCAGCCAGTGTTTCACAGGATGTTTAGTGGCTGTCTGCAAATGTGTCATGCTTAACGGACGTAAAAGGCACCAAGGGCAAAAATTCCAATTCTCATGAAACAATGGCCCCTTATCATGTATTCGTAGCTAGTCAGTGTTGCGAATCTTAGCTGACAAGCATTAGTGCCTATGTGCCTGTAATGGAAGCGTTTACACAGGAGTTGGTCTGATAAATATACTGAATAACTATAATGGAGCAAACACGAATTATTTTAAACTATACGTGAAGAACGTACCAGTAGATCTTCCAGCACAGTGAGCAATCGTATAAACTCATCGAGGGAAAGCTTGTCCAAAAGAGAAGAATCACTTTTGGCAAATGTCTCGGATGAAGCGCAGAGGCCGTTGGGGACATCCGAAACCGACGACTGTTCGCGTGAACTGACAAGATCAACGATGTTGCTTTGTGCTACCCCACAAGCACTGCGGATAGCAAGATGAAGTTGTGCTGTGAGGTATTCTAATTCCGTTAGTGTCAAGGTAGTGTTTAGCCGAGAAGAGGAACAAATGGAGGACGAGGAGGAACACCGCGACATAGCGTCCACCAGCAAAGCCACGATGTCCTGAAGATAAAACAGATACATAGAAGACAAAGTGAGGTCGGTGGGTATCAGGAGTACGCCGGTACGCAGTATTGACGCTTCGCTGCCGCGCAACCAACATTAATCGCGAGTGGGCTAAGGATACTGCGAGGGTCGCGCGGTCCCCCAAGCAGACTCGAACCCGAGCCCTCGGATTACAAAGTAGGTTTGTGATAGTTTAGGATACGGACCAGCGAGGTTGGTGGGAACATATGTGGTGTCAGGAAACGCAACACTAATGGAAGCACAGATATGACAAACGGACATACTTCTCCTCGTGCCAAGAGTTGCTTTATTTCGGCACATCTGGACTCGACAAGCTTCAGCCATTGCTTGTTTGGTAAATATCGCATTCTGTCTTTAGCCACCAAACTGAAAAAAAATCAAGGACAAGTAAGAGTAGTTCTAGCCTTTTAGACCATCAGTATCCATGCTACATAAGTGAAAACAAATTCACTCGCTGAATGAAAAATGTGGATGGTAATTAAAAATATCGCGCCATACCCGGAAGGCCAAATAAGCAGTGCAAGTAACTCCCCCACAATCAGTTGCAGCAATTTAAAAGCGGCAAAGGACCGTGCCCAATAGGCGAATGCCATTAGAACGGAAGACGTAGAAAGGTTATACTGTCAGAGAGGATGAATTTAGAAGTAGTGTGGTTACATTTTGCAAGTAAGAATTAGCCAGATGAAATGGAGTGGAAGAGGTGGAATAGTTCGGTTGCAATTCGAAGCATTCTGCCTACTAGCAGATCAAGATACAAGCAAGTGGAATGGGTAAAAACTCCAGGATATCCATGTGGTGTTCACATCGCCTGCTGTAAGGAAATACCTTACCGGTTCATCAAGCAGATATCGTTCAGATAGGGAAAATAGTATCGGGATATCGCCTCCTCTGTTCCCTTGTTTAATGAACACTACGGCCCCGTCGTGAAAGTTGAAGACAAAGTGTACGGAGTGAGAACATACTACAGCTTGCGCTGCTGCCCTGGGAACAGAAAAGGTTTGTCCACATAGTCAATGGTGGAATAATGCGGGACTAGGTGAGATAAGAGTGATACTCAAGACCCACCGTGTTTTAACCTCACAATCCCGAACGAAGTGTATTGATGGCACAACTATTAAACAAGTTAGGTACTTCAAATTCAGTGAGGCATTGTTCTTGGGTTATTGGTGATATGAGCTCGCGCGGATGATCTCAGGGTGTAACCAATTTGACCTCATTGTCCGTAATACCATCATGACAAATGGACATCAACTATCATAAACTCCATGATGAAGAGAGCTTAAATAGTCACGTGAAGGAAGCTGAACAGTTTAGCAAAAGTTCTTCGTGATGATGCGGCACTTTCATCGGCAATCAATTACAAGGGAAGCAGGCAGGACGGATGGATAGAGGACCATTGTGATTGTATATATATCGGAAACAGTGCTGTATAAAACTCAGGAAAAAAGAAGCCGAAAGTTAAAAAGGCACAGAATGAGATCTACAGAAAATAAAAAATAATGTGTCAGCTGTACGCGTAGGCCGTATACCGCCATGACGCCCACCCTTACGCGGATTCGAACCGGTGATCTTATAATTGCAAAAAAGGCGTGCAGACCATTTGGCCACCGGCCGATCTACAGAGACAGAGAGGACAACGTCAGGCTACGTATATCGCTCGGAGCTGGCCCCATTCAATGTAAACGCGTTGAAAAGTAAGTACAGACAGAACTGCGACGCGTGCGCCCATCATTTAAATTCAAGACCGTGTTGCAAAATGGGCTGAAATGTCGATGAATTGCAGTATCACTAAGCAATCACTCGGAATTCCAGATCGGTTTACTGATGTAACAGTTTCACCCCCCTGGAGATCAGTTTACTAAAGACGAGGCCATGCACAACAAGAAGAACCATGTGATAATCCCAAGCTTCAAATACTTGCAGAGAAGACGAGGGATCAGCTTGCCGGTCTAAGACAAGGCACGAGGGTGCAGCTCGATTAGTGTTGTTACATAATTATTATGTACGGTCAGTACCAACTGAAGATATTGTAAGAATGTGCATTTTAACGTTGGATTCTGTGAACCACTAAGCCATAGGAGTGGATTATAGTCTGCGGATCAAGGATGTTAGTGGTAACAAACTGCCAAATGATCTGCCGAAGTGTGTTGAAACTTAGCCGGGTTAAACAAATCCCATAGATGTCCACCACCAAAATCGACGTGTATTGCTTGCTGACATTATCAGGCGGAGCGAAGTACAAAGGTAGCCAGAAATAAGATGAGGAAAGGTTGGGGGAATGTCCATCAAGTTATCGGGGCAAACGTAGGCGTACCATCTCCCACAGTGGTACCCTCACAAATCAAGACATCAGCACATGGTGCAGTTGAGGAGTCGGTGGCCATGTAGGTTCCATGCTCCCAACAACTGGTGAACTCTCTATCCGATGATCCTAAATCACATTCCTTAGGTACTTGTTTAGTTAACTTGGGTGTTTACATGTCCCCTATGCATATGCGTTTGGGAACAGAGGCGTGGCAAACGACAAATCCGAAAACATGAATTGAAAAGCCCTGTGGACAAATCTGATTGGATAGTGATATATTGCATGGAGAAATCCATTGAGCGGCAAAAAGAAGGAAGCATGATTAAAATTGAAAAAAAACAATAGGAGCTGTTTTGCAACAATGAGCGCATCGGGGGAACCTACTCAGATTTGTTAATGTCATGTTCTCTGGGAGAAGAATCAGTTAGATCCAGATGTTGCTGTTTGATTTGATGAATCAGTTCCGCTCGGAAAGCGTTCACAAAATCATGGCGTTTGATGAGCAATAATCCCAGCAGGGAGGACACCAGCTGCAATGGGTGAAGTAGGGAAATGATAAAATAGATGAAAACATGGTTATGCATGATAGCTGCAAAATGATTCGCTCAGCGTCGGGTCAACAACAAACACACAACTTAAAACTTGGCGGAAATCGATACACTTACATCCGAGCTGGAGTCTGGCTGGTCCACAGATTGGGGACGTAAAAGTTGTCGAAGGGCAGCCTCAAACTCTGCTTCTATCATGTGACGAACAAGTCGAGCGATCTCAAGCATCTGTGCGTCCAGATGTTTGAGGCAGGCAATTTGTTGTGGTGGAGTAGGAGAGTCAAACGAGGCTGTAGCGATGGGTCGATTCAGTGCTTCCAGTAGGTCTTGTGTGGAAGTGACAAGCTCTAGAGCCGCACAGAAATCGCTTCCACGTAGCAGCAGCTGGATAGTTGGCTGGGCGGCTTGAAGACTTGCGATGGTTTTGAGCTGCAACGATGGAAAGGAAAAGGAACAGAAAAATAAAGCAGAAAGAAAGCACCTCATTATTATGTCCATGCTGGCTAGATTGGTCTACTTTAGTTGTTTCACAGCAAACCTTGCAGGATGAACCAGTGGGTATGAAATGGTTGAACGCGAATCACGTAAATTCGGGAACTGTGAGAGTCAAAGACTGGCTTATATACAATCCAATGTAGAACGAGGTGATGGAGATCAGCTGTTTTGACTTCAATAGCTGAACTATCCCAATCGGCGAGACCAAAAACATGCTACGAGATAAATGCAGCGCAAATGTCAGTGTGCTTTATCTGGAGAGAGAGAGAGAGAGGAGACCGAAAGTGTCACTGATTTGGTACTCAAGTGTGATTCGGACACGGAAGTATGATGGATGCAGTTGCAAAGCTCGCGTCGTATTGCTAGCAAATCAATGGTAGACAACAGTGAAGGAAATGACGGTGAAAACAAAAATTACATACTATACGTATTCTCAGCCGATTGCATCCAGAGCGCTTTCAGATTCCACCTTAAGGAAGTCATATTCCTCCACAGATCACTCAAGATGGTCTTTAACGCTATCGAACTGCACCCAAGCGCAAGCGATTCTAAAATATGCGTACTATTAGTTGAGTGATGAATTCCAAATCAGCTGGTAGAATAAAAGTTGAGAACACAGAGTGGGATGCCATTGGCTGACCTGGGATATATCACGCAATGAACAGTAGTATTTAAGGTTGTTTGCACCCAATGGATGCAACTTGGTAGCGTTAAGGATCATCCTGAGAGATGGAATCTGAGGGGCAAGGGATGAATAAGTCATATAGCAAATAAGTTAGACGTGGAGTCTGTGGACCGAACTCAAGTGCGCTATTAGCTTCACGGTTAATCAATGTCGGAAAGAGCCCAAAACCAGGATTCGGCCAACTTTTTAGAGGCAAACGGCATGAGAGCATGTAAAAAAATAAAAATAGGTATATTTCCTGACGAGCGGGACACATTCTCTTTTGTGGAACCATCATTTTTACAGCGAGTTTCGTTATTTCATGTATAAACTCCATTCAATGTGGAAGAGTTATGCAATGTTTTGTTGCGTATATAATATGTAACATTGGTTGACAGTTCATATTGTCATATGTTGATCGGCCCCGATTCCATGAGCGGGCTCGTGGACTGTCGAAGGTCGAAAAGTTTGAGCACATCTGGCACGGAAAGAAACGTTTTCAAATTAGTTTTAAAAATGGAGATGTTCACGTAGGTCCTTAGTTGCAAAGGGAGTTTATTCCACAGATAGGCGTTAGAGACCAAGAATTTTAAGCGGGTGTTTTTCCTAGTTCTCTGTAAGGATAGCAACCAATACCCATTACGAGTGGGATAAGTTGAGCCAGTATGTAATGCGACGGTCGTACTGATTGAGCAAACTCGCAAGTATATTATGCTGTAGAGAAGAGTGAGATTGATTTTCAGTCGTCGAAGCCAGAATGGATCGAGTTGGAGGTGAGAAGGTCGATCCTCATAAGTAAGCGATGATGAGCGTCCCATGAGCCTTTTGATAAATGAGCGCTGGACGTTTTCCAAAGCAATTCTATCCGTTTTACGTAAGTGGCTATGTATGATGGTGCAATACCCTAGAGTTGGTCCAATAATCAGTTTGAATGATACAAGCCGTGTTTGGAATGGTGAAAATGACCTAGTGATGTAGCTTGTTAGTTGTTTCGTTTTCGCTACTTGATGTTGGATGTGTCCGGAGAAGTTGAAGCTGTTCGAATGTCGAATTCCTAGGTCTCGAACGAAATACGCAGTTGGGATGGGGTGACAGTGAGAGTGATGAATTCTTCTGGTATACTGCATCTGGCAGAGTATCTGGGGTTTATCTACAGAAAACTTTATTGAACTGCTTTCGCTCCATTCGTCTAGGGATGATAAGTCCTCGCGTATATTTTTTAAGCACAGTTCCAGACAGTCAGATCGAAATCAGTATATTAGTTTTGTCATCCGCAAATACAAATAAGCGCCCGTGTACAATGTAATCACCTATATCATTTATGTGAATGAGGAAAAGCAATAGGCCCAATATACTGCCCTGAACAACGCCGCTCGTGGCAATAAAGTTCTGCTCTCCGGTCAATTGCTTCACGTCGCTTACCTAGGCTCTCTACCTGAAGGCTCTGGTACTACACTCAATCGGGTAAACAACACACACAGCAGGTGTTCGGTAAGCAACAGAATAATGTGGGATGTGATGTGGACGATTCAAACAAACGAGAGTGTCCGGTTCTGAACCGCCTGACGGACTTAAGTACCGCTCAACCTTGAGATCTCAGCAGATATAAGGGAGAGCACGAAGAAGATGACCGTTCAATTAGACCTCACAATAGGTAACGTCCGTGAATCGGATTCATAAAATAATAACAATCGCAGTGCCAATTCGTAGATCGCATCACATAGGAATAAACAGGTATCATGCCATCTCTTCAAGCAGTAGAAACTTTGGGAAGACGCAAATGAACATGATAACTCCGTCGGTGATTTAGCCAACTGGGATGACACAACTATCCCGATGAAGTAACGGGTTCATCACTCAGTTGTCGATCTGAGACGGTTAGGAGAGGCAGCAAGCGGATAGCGGAGGGCACACACAAGAGAGCAGCGCTTTGCGAATAAAAGTGATGGGGGAAAATACTAAAGAGAAACTTATAGAAATGAATGTTCTATGAAAACAGGCAAGTAGTACTGCAGTGTGAACAAATATGTAGCGTAGAACAATTAGCTACAACCGGGAAAACGTAGAGGTGATCATCTCTTGAAATGTTTTCCGGAAGTTCGTTGGACGGAAAAGAGGAGCGTTGTTAAGATGCAAGAAGCAGCAATGAGAATAAAGAATACTGTATTATGGAAGAAAGTAGAAATTCAAATATGTACAGGCCCGTCGAAATATGGTCAGAAACTACTTAAGACCTGTTAACACTAGTCGTTATTCTGAGTAACATGTGCTATCGGAAAAAAGATATGGCTCACATTAACTTGGGAATCAAAGATCTGTGATGGTAGCTTTAATTGATAATCGTTCCCCGAATCTAACAATAGAGGAATGCAAATTCATCAACATTTTAAATTGATGTACCGAGTTCGCTTGCACGGTAGTATGTTCCAAACAATAAACACTAACCATTCGAAGTATAGATGATGGGGAACTCGTTTCGGATTTTAGCCCCACGTGTGTTGCAGGATGCTTGAAAGTGGAGCAGTGGCCTCAGTATGGGAAGTCACCAAGACGCGAAACACGACAGGCCCTGATGAAATAGGCTCGCACACGACGATATGACAAGGTGTAGAGTTCCAGTCTGTCGTACCGGTCTTCGTACGGTAAATTCCAGAAACGGGGTGAATCTGGCAGCTACGTGTGGGACTCATTCGATCTGCGGCTCGCCTCAGACGGTTGGACAGTAGGCAGGCGAACCGTACCGCATGAGTGAAAACTATTCGTTTTGTCCACGGACACCAAATCGCAGCGTGATAAAGCCTAGGTACCTCAAGAAAATTGTGGAATGTAGCGGCTGGCTGCTAAGGGTTTAGGTTTGGCCGGCAGCATCTCTCCGCAGGCTAAAGAGTACAGACTTGGCTGAGCTGACCTAGAGCCAGACTTCTGCAGACAACATGGAGAGGTTGACAGCGTGTTAACGTAGACCGCATTTGTCGCGAACATAAGTCTACAAATCTTCAGGTCGTCCGCGAACAGAGAACACGACAATCGGAGAAGCTGAGGTGCTTCGTTGATAAAGTGCAGGAAGGAAGAAGGCCTCAGCACCATGCCTTGGAGTACGCGACTGGTCGAGAGATACCAGTCGGTCAGATAGCCGTGAACTTATACCTTTCACTTTTGCTCAACGAGAAAGTCACAGATCCACCAATACCGTCATTATTAACCTGTGGAGGAGTGTTTTTTGGTTTACATTGTCAAGCGCTTTGCTGAAACCAATGCAGATGAACTCGACAAATGTCGTTTGGTTCCCTGCCTGCAGCCATTCATGCCTCATCACTAGCAGGATGACAATGCATGGACCCCCTGGTAGGAAACCGTACTGCGCAGTCGTTAGATTTACTGACTGGAACAACTATAGTAAACACTTCTTCGCGATCTCGAATACCATGACCAAAATATAAAAATTAAAATTTGTAGATTTAACGACGAACGGTATTGTGTCGGACTGCTAGAGTAGATCAGTTCCAAGTAAAGAAGAACGAAAAGCTGGAGGCGAGTAGAGACGAAAAACGTGAGTCCGGACGAGTTGAATTGCACGGAAACAGACCGCTCTAGTCATAGATCGACTGATAATAGAGTCAGCCTCAGGCCACCACTAGTCTGTTAATCGATGCGTTTCCCGTTTGTTTCGATTTGACCACTGGGCATTAGCTAGTGTTGATATCTAGGCCTCAGCTTGTTTTGAACTTTGGGGCAGATGTCTGTTTTGACTATGGGTCGCGAGCATCGTTGATTTGCGCTCGAGAAAGCGCACATTCTTAGCAATAGGCTAGATAAATCAGCCCATAGCTGTGAACATTAATGGGGTCGCCGTCTTTAGGAATCTGTTTTAAGACCGAGCACTACCAATCAATTGGCAACCAATCTTCGGACACAGAGCTGTTGAAGAGGCTAATCAAGGAAGGCAGTGAAAGTAAGCGGAGGCGGTCCGACCTAACTGCCTTAGTGCAGTCAAGATTAGCCAGTAGTTGACGCACATCATCCAAACCGCAATATAGTATGCCGAGTTCGGTAAGGGTGGCACACGTCGAACTTGGCACATGCACCAGGTTTTTTACAAATACTGAAGCTAAATGCGCCACCAGCAAGAAAACATGCTCAGTGCTGGATGTTATGGATTGTTCGTCCGAGCCCTCTATCGCTGGTAAGTCAACTGCAGGTTTCAGGCGCCGCAACACGTGAGTTAAAAATCTCTTCAATGCGGGCTTTGCGGCGGTTGTAAGGTGCTTTT